TCATCATCAACTTCGACATAGAGCAAATATGGGATGTCTCCGTAAGTCTGATAAAACTGTAATTTTTTGTTTGAATCCCAACTTTCCCAAATACTTCGCAAATCTTGCATATCATTTCTTTTTAGTGAAACTGGAGCATAACTGGCCAAGTCAGATACATAATCATCCTGCAGACTGTCTCCTTCTTGTCTTTGTAAGTCCTCAGCCCACTGTCTTACTTCTGAGTTTAGAATTACTTGACTTGAACACTTTTTATCCATGGATGAAGGCTTTCCAATGAGACAATTAACACAAGGATCAATGCCTTTTATCCTGTATGATGCTATGCAAACAGAAAAAGATAAAGAACACACAAAAAGAAATGAATTAGTTTACATAATAAAGAAATTTAATAATAACATTTACCTAACTATTTTTATTTAAACATGCTTTTTCATAATTTAAATAATTTAAATATAAATGTAATTTAATCAGTAAAAAAAATAAATTAACAGGAAAATTAGAATTCATTTCTCCTGTGTGTACACCTATTTTGGACAAAATTTCGGCATGACTTCAAATCGGAAGAGTTTCTAGGGTTTATTATATGTAATGTTTCAGATCTAAGAATAAAGGTACCCGAATTATCCTTGTTAGTGCCCCCTTGGGTTACTAACCCTCAATCCTAGTCCATCACAGACTAAAATGGATCGAGTTCAATTCGAGGGGATACATTTCTCTATGCCTGACATGGAGAACAAATCCTCACGAAGACATAGAGCATATGAACCCCGAAAGTTACTTGCTAGGTCTGACACGGAGAATAAATTCTCACGAAGACGTCGCTTTCACTCCCACTTAAAAAGGACAAACTCAATTATAGAGCTTTATGTTATGCAATGCAAGTGTTGTGTGAGGAGAAATGTTCAAACCTCTGACAGAAAAAATAAATAATGAAATAAAATACTTGCAAATAAAAATGAAATATTAATAAGAAAATATATACATACTATGAAAATAAAAATTTTTGAAAAGGAAAAATCATAAATTAAATATATAAATTTTAATTTATAATTAATAGAGACAATTTATAATTGATTTTAAAAGTTTGATCGGTCCCCAGCAGAGTCGCCAAGCTGTCGTAACCGGTTTTCGTCCGGGCACGAAATATTTATTTGGCGGGAAAATTGATGTGAATAAATGGTTTTTGAAAATAATTTGAGAGTCGCCATCGGCCTTTTGGGTCAGGTAGGTCGAATACCTAAAAATTATTTTTTAAAAGAGTTTTAAGAAAACATCAATTAAAAATGAACTGATCTGCGTTTATAACCAAAAATTCGTTCTTTTTAATAATAAAAAGGGATTCGTGGTCGGTTACGTTTAGGGAATGATTAGCACCCCTACAACGCCTAAAATTGGTACTTTTTAATTATAAATTGTCTCTATTAAAAAATTTAAATATACATTTAATTTATAATCTTATTATTTCGAAATTATATAAAAAAAAATTTAAAAAAATATCGGAAAAGGACTTCTAGGTGCCTTAAGACAGTTCTTTTCTTTGATGTTAATAAATATTAATTAAATAATATTTTTTATAATATTTAATTTTAAAATACCAGAATAGGACATCCAGTTGTATTAAGACTGCCCTTTTCTTCGATATTGAAAAATAAATATTAAAATAATTTATTAAAAATATATATAAATTATTATTTATTATATATATTTATGACTATATAATAATAATAAAAGTATTTAAATATATAAACAAATAAAACAATAAAAATACAATTAGAACGATATATTTAAAAGCAGTAAAATAAATGAAAACATTTAAAATTAGTGACTAAAATATAGTAAAATAAAGATTAAAAACCTAATTCATAATTAATCAAAATTATAGGGATTAAACATGCTATTTTCTTATTTTATTAATTTAGTGACTAAAATAAAACTTATCTAAAATTCGAATATCAGATTAAAATAAATTAAAAATATAAACTCGGGATTAAAATATTAATTATTAAAATGAAGGGATTAAATATTCTATTTACCCTATATATATTATTTTAATATTAAGGACTAAAATAAATAAAATTAAAATTAAAGAACCGAATTAAAAGGATTATAAACTCGATTTAGTGACTAAAATGTAAAGTTTACAAATTAGGCTGACTGCGGAAAGGATTTAACTATTATTTAATTATACGAATAGCCCTCCCAGAAACGACGTCGTTCGGGAAGGGCTATTTAAAGCCGAATTCAGCTGGCCCTTCGGGCCATATTTCATTTCTTTTTTTTTCTCTCTCTAACTGAGAGAGAAATAAACGCTCTCCCCTCTCTCTAGCTTCCCTCATCGGAGGGAAGCCGGTCACCGGACGGCAACCGTCTGCCGCCGTGACCCTCACCGCCGGCCACCGCATAAGGTGGCCGGAAAATTTTATTTTCACACCATTAGATAGATCGGACCGTCCTAAGGACAGTTCCGGTGCTCTTTTCTCCTAAATAGCTCCTGATCGGAGCGAATCTAAAGAAGTACCTTCGGTTTCCGAAGGTTTTGGTGATGTTTAAAGGGGTCCGGTGGCTTCCTCGGTAAGCTCCTTTCTTTTTTTTTTCCTTTCTGTTTTGGTTTTTGCTGGTTGTGAGATGTTGCTCTCTGTTTTCTGTCTCTCTCTGTCTCTGTTGTGGTCTTTTTTTTTCTTCTGTTGGGTTTTTTTTTCTTTGCAGGTTGGGTGATGGCTTTATAGCCATCACCGGCGCTCGTCTCGGACCGGTCCTAAAGGTGAAGTTCGGTGAGTCACCGGACTTCCAGTGGTGACTCACCGTTGGGGCGACATGTGTGCGGTTGGGACGTGGTTCTTCTGGAAGCTTCCGACGAGACGTGACAGCGGTGGAGATGGTGGGAGTAGACGTGACAGCGTGGCCCTAGGGTATCATCACCCTAGGGTTTGTGCTGGATGAGTGTGGGCCGTTGGATCTCTCAGATCCAACGGCTGAGATGATGAGGCGGCTAGGGTTAGATCAAACCCTAATCTGGTTTTAGAGTTTAGTTGGGCAATCTGGATTTGTAATTAGGCCAGACAATATGGGCCCGTTTGTAATAATAATATTAATAATATAAATAATATAAATAATAATATTTATAATAATATATAAATAATATTTAAATAAAAAAATGAAGAAAAAAATGAGTATCTTCACTACTAACATGCATAGCAATTAGAGGCTGGCCATTAATAAACAATAAACAAGATATTGCACAGCAATTCACCTTGAAGTAGTTAACGTCACTCCCTCATATGCCAAGAGCTTTTACTCGTACTTCCACATCAAGAGGGCAGTCGATTTTTTATAAAAAAAAAACTAGTCTTTACTCGAAAAAGTTTTAAATTCGAGTTGAGTTATAAAATAAAATTCGAATAACTAAAATTTTTAATTATTAATAAATTGATTTTTAAGTTTGAGTCTAATCTCTCAACTATATATCCTATATATATATATAGAATTATAAAAATCGTTTAAATTAAAATCAAACAGTATCATAACATTATAAATATTTACAATTAAATTTAAACAGAAACTCAAATAACTCGACTCGAATAAATTTGTTTCAAATTTCATAAACTCATATCGACTTGAAAAATTTTCAAATAAAATTTGAGTTATAAAATAGAATTCGTCATTTCGAATAACTCAAAAAATTTTAACTCGACTCCGCTAGATCCGATCGAATACTCACTCCTCCGTATTATACCTCAAGATAATATCAAATTTCCATCGACAAAGATTCCCGAAAAGACTATACCCCGAGCGAAGACTCAAGAAACTCTTCGAAAATATCATGTCATCCCCAAAACCATCCTTCATCGAATTGTCATCTGGAACCCATACTCTTTAGCTTTTGACGCGACTTTATATCCAAGAGAGAATAAAAGAACGGACTTCTTCCCTTCCAGCTCTCTTCGACACCAACCGTCTCCTTCTCTTCCACATAAATATATCCGTTAATCGTTATTTTTTTTCCGATTACAAATTTTCCGTCCAAATCAAAAAGGTTAAACCGTCAACAACTGATAAGATAAACTTGATCTCATTTACCCAACGTAAAATACAGAAACAAGCGGTTTGAGTAATAAATAGAAAAGGGTGAGAAGATGGTACCGAGTGGAGGAAGAAGGTAAGGTTGGATTTGAAGGGTTCTGATTGCAAGAAGCCAAGCTGCCATGTTCGTCTGCCCATCTTCATCCCTGCCCATCTTAGTTTCACAAACCTCGGCCATTTCTGATATCACTGGCTCTTACTTCCTGTAAAGATAAACTGAGCTTTACACTCCATGCTCTTTGAAATTGACACTCCTTTTCAATATTCCACACCACTCACGTGACTCTCAACCAAAATGACGGCACAACACTCAGGACCAGCACTTTGTCCTTATTGCTCAATTCTTATCCTTTTCTACTTTCATTGAATGAGTTGAAACGCCAAGCAATAACTTAAGCAAAATTCAATGGGGAAATGATTGGACGTCTGATACCTTTTTAGTAAAGTCCAGAAAAGGAATATAGAAAATAAGATAAACTATAGTTACTTTTCCATTCTCGTGATTCCGTTTTTGGTTATAGAATTATTATTTTTTAAATCATATATATCATTACGATTTTATTTTATTTTGATTATCTACTATTAAAAAATTAAATAGAACCATTGATAATTTTTTATTTTTTTCAATGATTGATATTATGATATGACATTTTTTATGATAACATGTTAATATAATTGTTAATTTTTTAACGAAAATAATAGTAATGTAACGTTATGTATTATTTTGATGAAAAAATAGTTAAGCGACTAAAACAGAACTGACGGGTGACCAACTACCTAATTTATCCTAAAAATATATATCATATATGATTAGCAAGACATATTGGAAATACAAGATCATAACATATAAACATTTGAACAGAAACTCAACAATTATATTCTATACGAGCGAATAAAGTATTCCTATCATCTCTGTTACAACAATAGTTCCTCATACGACCTCCTACTATATCTTCTATACATCTGTTTGCCACCATTGTTGCCTCGTACGACAAACAACACATTTGAAAGTAAAACAGCTGCCCATTGAACTTTTCCAACTCATGTCCTTCACCCTCCTCAACTGACTTATCTAGCATTAAGCCACTAGTTAAGGCAGCAAGTAGAAAGAATTGGCAATGGAAGTCGATGCTACAACTCGCCCTTTTTTGTGCGATTCCACTAGTTTAGACAAGATCATGCTCTTCGACTCCGTCTTCATTCGGAAGGGGTATATACGGAATCAGATATTTATTCAAACGCCAGCCTTTGGGTGTCAACTAATGAAGCATATTGCCCCTTCCTAACCAGCAATTCCATATGGGATCCTAGTTCTGCTATCTGGCCATTTGAACAAAGAGCAATTTGATGTGCGTTCTGAACTGTGCTTAATCTATGAGCAATTACTAATGTTGTTCTGCTTTTCATTAGATGATTCAAAGCATCCTGGACCAGGCGCTCGCTAACCGCATCCAAAGCACTTGTTGCCTGCAACAACAAAATATTTAAAACAAAACATGCATTTACATATTAATATGCTTGCTAAATGCGGATGGAGTTCGATAATATATCAAAAAAATAATTTAACAAGCTTTCACGAAGACATGTTGAGGCCTGGCATTGTAATGCTCTAGCGATCAGGTTGAGAATGGCCAACATGGTGAGAACGTGCAGATTCATAAGGAAAATGAAAAAAAAAATCACCTCATCAAGGATCAGGATGGGAGCATTCTTGAGAAGAGCTCTTGCAATAGCAATTCTCTGAACAAAAAAATAAAAATCGATCAGCGTTTTTCCCCTTTCATGTCATTCATGCATACATCCACACGCGTAGATAATCTTAAGTATGGGACTAGATCCATGCATGTCTAAATAATCACTTAGCACAATACCTGCCTCTGTCCTCCACTCAGCAAGCCTCCACGCTCACCAACCAGTGTGTCGTAGCCCTTCCAATCCAACAAAATTAGAAGAAAAAAATGCTTGCAAACTAAGAGTACAGGTGCATAGATCAAATCGACAAACCTGTGGAAGAGAAATTATAAATTCATGAGCATTTGCAGCTTTTGCCGCCTTAATAATGTCGTCCTTGGAAACAACATCATCTGGCAGCCCATATGCAATATTTTCTCCGACAGAGACCGAAAAGAGAACAGGTTCCTGTGTCATTTTCTCCACGTTAATATCATGAAATGCCACAATAAATGTCTGACAAAGCAATACCTTAATAATAATCAGCACGACTTGTTTTCAGTTATATAAAGAAAAGTATTTATGCCTGGATATTTAAATATATACTTGATTCACTACTGAAACAACTCGGGCCCATTCACTCTTGTCAAATGTCCGAACATCCTCTCCAGAAACTGTTATACGGCCACTAGTTGGCTGCAAGAACAAAGCATCAATTTGTTTGCGTTGCATAGTCTGGTAAACAGAAACCAACAAATACAAGTTCTTGCAAACCTCATAAAAGCGTGCCAATAGTTGTACTATTGTGCTTTTGCCTGCACCACTTGAACCTACTAGGGCAGTTACAGTTCCACATTTTAGAGTTAAATTGAGTCCATTAAGAATTTCCACATCAGGCCTTGAAGGATAAGAAAAGTGTACATCTGCAGGACAAGCTGGTACATTAGTTCGTGCTATATGATATGTATCTATAATAATTGTTCCAAGATTATATTTACCAGCAGTGACTGAGACAGGCTTAGATGTTTTGATGAATTTTGTGTGCAAAAAGGAAAGTGTGATTCCAGATTACTTCTATAATACTTGCCTCTTACCGAAGACTTCCTCATTTACTTTAAAGAGTAAAAATAGAATTTTATGATGTGGAAAGAAAGTAACTTAAACTGAAGCCTGATGAGAAGATGCAATTCTTTCAAAGATACGTAAGTGCAGTCTTATATACCTTCAAGAGCAACATCGCCTGACCAAGCTAATCTACCCACATCACTTGTCGATTTCAGGGCTGACCAGTAATGTGAATCTAATTGTTGACTTTTCCCAAAAGCACCATTGGAGATGAACAATTTGATATTTTCATCATGGACTTCTTTCTTCTGGATTTCTTTTTCCAAACCATAAGCAAGGGCTTCATCAATTTCTGCTCCAGATATAATAGAGTTAATCCTCTCAACAGAAGAAAATGTTCCTCGAAGGTCTCCAAATGTATTAACCAGTCCTTGAACCTGTATGATCAATACATTAGACCGCACGTATCAGGTGTAGTAAGGGAATGCAGAGACATAAAAGGAACTCACAGCAAAGGTTAAAGTAAAAGTGTATCCAATGAATGAAGCCACGGTTCCAACAGATAGTTCACCCTGCAATCAGCATATGGGGAGGAGGAGAAATTTAGTATGAAAAAAGACAATATTAAGCACAGAGCAAAATGGTCATGGCACAGGAAATTAGAGTGGAAATTAGAGTGAAGGGTGAAAGGTAAATATAAACTGCATGGACATTTAGCCTTTGATTGGGAGTGAGGATGGAAAATTTGTTAATCAAATAGTTAAGATTCATAACAACTTCTCGACTTCGTAACTTGACCATTAGGTTAATAAATTTTCCATCGTTACATTTTACCATCCTTAGTACCAAGCAAAGCTTTAAAGAAATGGTATCCCAAAATTGAAATGCTCACCGCCTTCACCTTGCTTCCTCCAAGACAGTACAAGGCCAGTAAAGAAATATAAACAGCAGTCCTGGTCAAAGATTCATTTATGGATTTGAAAGTGCCAAGCTTTATACCACTTTTCTGATATGCAAGAACCTGCCGAAACCCTTGAGAATCAGTGTTATGTGCACAGAACTTTCAACAAACTTTACATAGAGATGATAAAAGCTCAAATAATACAAAAAAGAGACAGTGACTACTATCTTACCTGACTACCAAACATTAACATTTGACGTTTTTCCCCACCAAAAGACCTTACCTATGACAACCAAAGTTATTATTTCAATGATCAGGCTTCCGTCAAAGCTTTTACTCGCAATGTTTTCGTAATGTAAAACAAGGATACCAAGTGATGGCATTGTCTATTTTGAAGTACAATGAAATCAAATTCTCAACAGCAGATATCCATATAAGTAGGTAGATGCCAGAACATTTAAAGACCGTACAGTTCGAATTGCAGAAAATGTTTCTGTTACACAGTCAGACATAGAAGCTTGGGCCATTCCATGAGCTTTAAACACGGGTACAGTTGATCGCTTGTATGTGGCTAGAAAGAATCAACTATCACCATCAGAAGTAGATAATAAAAAGACATAAACAAGCATATGCATTTGATATGAGTCCAATTGCAAGGAGACCTGACACCACATAGGAAAGTATGGGATTCACTATAGGGTTTCTATAGAGTAGACTTTTGGGGTGTGATTCTCCAAAGGTCATATCAATTGATATTAGAGTCAGCCACTATGTGGTGCGGTTCTTCAAAGGTCATATCAATTGGTATTAGAGCCAACTACTATGTCCCTTAGTGGCTATCGTGCAGCATGGGTGGTGATGTTGGCATTACATTTCACTTGAAGGTAGAAGATTCTAACTAGTGCAAAGCCAACTTGTGGTTCTGATGGTGGCGCCGGTATTGAAGTGTCACCCAGGGTTAGATTAAGTTAGTGCAAAGCCAACTAGTGTCAGCATCCACACTTCAAAGCGCGGTGGACGGATTTATGCCCCAATTGCAAGATATGGGACTTGGATCCTGCGTAGAAAAAAACTAAAAAGGCATAGGATTTCGCTATAAGGTTTTATGTGGACTTAGGATCTCCAACCTCAACAGCTAGTTTTTGAAGTGTGGTTCTCCAAAGATCCAATATGATAAATTTCTTTACAAAAGGAGTAAATGAGCAAGGGCTTACTTATTAACAGACCAAATTTAGGTGGTGTCAAAAGAAGCAGGGCTTAGGGAAGAAAAGTGTATTTTCATATTTGTGAAACATGACAAGTGGATTATTATAAAGAAAGGATAAACTTGTAATAGCTTATAACATAAGACACTAAAAACCATTGATAACCCCACGTTCCACAGCAACTTGATGAGTAAAGTATCACAAAGTTTTGGCAGTAGGTCTACCTAGTATCTATAATGTACAATAGGTAGAAAATTTAGGTTAAGCAAATATAATAAACATGAATCTGATACTGTAAGATTCCTAATGAGTATTAAACACAATAAAGTAAAATAGAGGATGATGACAATACCCCTACGGCAAATGAACAAATTCAAACAAGAATAAATATGCAAAATAAACAAAATTTGCATAGAGGATGTATTTACCAACTGAAACGGACACGAAAAGCATCAACAGGCCCAAAATTGGGGCTAGTTGGGGGGATAGGGCAAACAGTATGCAAATCGTCCCAACAACCTACAAGATAAATTGACCAACATAAAGTGAGATAAAATCATTAATGATCCTTTCAACAAAATCTCACATAAAGATTTCCTGGAAATGCAAAGACAAAAATAATACCAATTCTGCTTAAATTTAGAAATCCAGGAACTTTTAACTGTAACATTAGTGAAGGACGAACTGAGTCCATTAGAGTCGGATAATTCAAATTACTACACGCTCAATTTTAGGCAACATCCAGCTCAGTTTTACTTTAGTATATAGTGGCTTGCCTCGGAAAGGGCCCTGAAACCTCGATCCCTCGAAATGTTCTCACTGACAACATCTTTTAAAGAACCCAAATCAGATGTCAGCAAACCACTGAGCTCTCCAACCTGTAATAAGCAAAATTAAAAAACAGCTACTAACAAACAAATAAAAACAAGTTTCGTAAATTGAGCATTCAGAAACCTTGTATCGATCAAAAAACTCCGCCTGCACCAAAAAATTAAAAAATTTCAATTAGAAAAGGAAACACTACTACTATTGGTAAAATTAAACTGACAAACCACTGAGAAGATTATTTAAAATGATCATAAGTTCAGCATACCTTTTGAACCAAAACTCTTCTAAAAATTTGAGCTCGAAGTGTTGACATAACTTTCTCCCATATGGTATTCATATTTACCACAAAAATAACAGTGAAAATAGGCTCTAATGAGTATAAAAGCCCCACTTTGCTAAGCAGCTTCCATAAAGGCTCTGGTCTGGCGCCTATGAGAACTTCGAAGAATCGTCCTGTACATTTTCTCAATCTCAATTAATTAGTAATTTAGCATAAGCATCTCCTATTTCGTCTTAACTTGAAAAACTGAAAGAAATTCCTTACCAGAAAATATAGGCATTGACAGAGTACACGTGGTGCCGCCAAAGAGAGCCAACACCGAAAGACAGAGTCTGAGCTTGTGCCGGGCAAGGAGACTCCATAGAAGCTTCCGGTTTATCAAATCCGAAGCCTCGGCCTTATCGGATTCGGGCTCCGAATCGTCAATCCTCGGGTCGGATTCGGTCACGATCGGAGGACCAGTAACGTAAGCGCGAGGTACTGAACTCGAGATGTAGTTCGATCTTGTGGATTTTGAGGTTGCGGGGAGTGAAACTGGCGGGAAAGTGGATGGTTGGTGAAGATGAGCATTCAGACAGAGACCGAGTTTGAGTTTGCGCGCGTGTTGTGTCCTAGTTGAGAAGCGCGTGGGGATGATTTGTTGGAGGAGGGGCGCAATTACAGGGGCGGAGGCAGTAGCCATGAGAATGAATAAAGAAATGGAAGAGAGAGAGAGAGAGAGAGATAAAGGGTCTACTACGTGACGTTCACGTCGAAGCAACGGACTTGGAAGACCCTACCGAAACGACGTCGTATGGATAGGAAAAAGGTATCTTGACCGCCCGTAACAAATTTTAGCCTTTGATTTAGAGTAAACTATGGCACGGTTATTTTAGGTGGCGGATCATTGAACAAATCTTCACTAACAGGATATCTTCGAACCAGAGCTGCAAATTCATTAGCTCTCGAATTCGCCTCCCTCCTTATAAGAGAAAATCGAACCTCCCAATCTTAATAAAAGTACTAATATAGTCGACAAGGGCAGTTACTCGAGCAGATGGAATACCTCGGCACTGTCGGTTTCTACAATCTCCTTTCAGGCACCTAATCTCCGTGCATGTTTTAACGTATCATGTACCGCCCAAAATTCTGCTGATAAAATCGAGCAATTTCCTAGACTCTTAACAGAACCAAATAACCATCATTGCTCACATCTTAAGACTTCCCCTGCAGCAGTCATGGCAGCCAACAGCTTCATCCGCATTTGCTTGTCATGATCCATCCCTCTAGTGATCGCTTCTATTTAGAGGTCTCCAATGTTGCATTTGGGGCCGGTTGTGTGGATTCATACGCGGCTATGGTTCCATGCAACAATCTCAAACTTGAATGATGTGAGAAAGGTGTCATTGATGACATGGAACGAAGAAGAACGGCAGGTGGCCGGAGTGTATGAAGAAGTGAAGAGCGGTGGTGGTTGCATTTGGGAAATATAAACAAGAAGGCACCCTATTTTATCTTGTTAAGGAGAGCAAGGCTATTAAACCCTTGATTCTCCCCATATATTTTTTTTATCATGGATACTTAGCTGTTAAACTTCAAGTTCCAGTTTACTTTGCGAGAGAAGCAAACAGACGATGAGGAATGCACAACAATTCTCTAGTTCAACAAGAACCAGCTCAAACCAAGAATTCAATAGTCACATAACGCACAGCAGTGATGCATACAACCGAATGACGATAAAATGTATTAAAGTGAATCAAACTAGAGCAGCTGTACATCTCGACTTTCAGAATACTTGAACAAAGCAATCCAATTAACATCAAAATTCCCAATCTCCTCATTTAGCTTGACTGAAACAAAATTATCATTGCTGTACACAACTCGCATTAAACCAATATCAAATAACTTTGTATTTGTATGAGCATGTTGTATCAACATAAATGCTTGACATCAGATGCACAACCCAACAACTTCTAACAGATCGCCACGTAATTCAAAACAATTACTACTAATAAATTTTCAACTAATTATAGTTACTTGTAACTACATTCCAACCAGTGACAATATCGTCATGGTCATAGTACTCTTGTCAAGAATAAGAGAGTTATGTTGCTCCCACATATTCCAGCATATAATGTGGAATAAAATCTTCCAATTCCTATCATCCATCATGTGGTTACCTTGTTTTTCTAATAGTGTCGGATCCAAAAATATTTATGAGGGTGGACACACACATATTAATTATTGAAATTTTTCATATGGGGTAAAAACAAGTAAAATTTCACGAAAAATTTCAGGGTAGACACCTATAGTAAAATGAAAATCTAATAGAAAGAAACTCGGATTACAGGGTGGGCACGTGCTCACCCTGAGGATGCTTTGAACCCGCCACTGTTTCCACGTTGTCCCACAACCAGCCTATATGAGGCATCCATGTCCGCAGTCGCTATCCATGTCATCACGTTGTTATTGAGTTAATGGCCCAGTGATATAATTAAAATAAAAATAGTGAGGATCAAATGTGTAATTATATCAATTTAGTGTTTTATATAGTACTTCAAAACGACATCATTTTAGAGGATTATATAGCTACATCAAAACAATATCGATTTGAGAATTTCATCACATGACAAGTAGTTCTATCCATGTCATTACGTTGTTTGAATTTCAATGACTTGGTATTTACATTAAAGTAAAACAAAAATTCAAATGTTACAATTGAATAAAAAAATCAATGATAAAAATAATACAAACCTTAAAGTTAACAGTATCTGATGTAGTTTAACTTTTAACACACGATAATTCAAAGTTTGACACTGATACATTATGATTGGAACAAAATTTTCAAATACTTTACTTATCTTATCTATTTTAAAACGGAAACGATATATAAAAATATAACCCTGTAAGATCTCATTAGCTTAAACCATCATCAAACGAAGGATTGATAAGATAGGAAAGGGTTTTAAGGAAAGGAGATATTTGGTTCTTTGATGCCAGACACGTGAATGGATAATTTGGTCTAGAACATAAATTTTACTATTTACTTATCCACTTCCTGGACCACCAAATCATGTAATAACACGACATATATATTAATGATAATCCGAAAATTGCAAGGAACAAGAAGAATAACATGTCCTAATTTGAGTGCTTTATGTATATTTGTCCCTCACGTCTAACTGTAATAACATTCACTACACCAAAATGGGTTTTTAGTGGTTTTTTTTTTTTTGCATTTAGCGGTTTTTTTCATATAGCGGCGTTTTTATGCACCGCTAAAAACACTTATGGCGTTTATTCCCAAAAATACCGCTAAATTTTCTGACATATAGTGTTGTAAAACGTCGCTGTTAACTACAATATAGTGGCGTTTTCTATATAACCGCTGCAAAAGATCTTGAACTTTAGTGGCGTTTTGTTTTACAAATACCGGTATTGATTATGTATTTAGTTGCGTTTTATTATACAAACGCCTTTAATTAAAACTAATTTTTCAAATGTTGTTTTCTTCTCTTTTAGTACCCAAATTTAAAATTTTAACATGTAACATTATCCAATAAACTTGAAATTTATAATAATAAATCAAAGTTTACATTAAAGTGAAATATAATGTAGTTCAACATTGTTAACTAAAAAAAACAAAGCATATATATATTACACCTAAGATGGTGGACTTTGGGGTTAATTTTGTAATATCATCTACATCATAGCTTGAAGTTGATTTTGAAAGTCTTATATTTTTTCTAATATGATGCTTCTCTCTCTACTTCCCTCACTTCAGTTTCAGCTTTAATTTGAGCAAATTTTACATCCATTTGAGCCAACTGTTATTTTAAACGACTAACTTCTGATTGGGAAGATTGGTTGTGTGATGACATGTACTGAGATGAATTGGATCCAAAATATTTAGTTGGGGTAACGAATGATCCTTGAAAGCGAACCCAACCATATCTTTCAGGACCTAAAACTTCATTAATAACTTGATTTTCGATCTCATTCGCATTAAAAATACCATGACTTGAAGCGATAGCTTCATACTCCGCCCTTTTATCCCTCATTTTTTCCTAATAATCAATTCAATCAGTATTTTAAATAAAAATGTCATACTATAGGTATAAATAAAACATAATTCAAAATTTGTGTCAAATAAATGTACCATAATTTATGTTGTTTCATCAGTCATAGGAGTGTCATCCTTTTTTGTATGTGTCATGTCGAAAAGTTTTATTCGTCCAACTTTAGTACCCGACGTATTTTCCTGAAATGTAGAATAAAAATTAAGTCTTGCAAAAATTAATTAATAATATTAATAATTTTCGTTACTATGTGCTACCAATTGTAAATCACTATGTGAATAATCAAGAATACCTCATCATTAGCTATACAAGCAAAGTTCTTTGATCTAGCTGTGTGAGTAAACTTTTGTTGTTGTCTGCTAGCAACACCAACATGTTATCGGTCCTACAATTTAAAATTTGTACTTATAAAGCCAATATTATAATGACGTAATAGTATTATTTAAAAATGCATCATACATCTCCTTTCTTTGAACTACAAAACCTAATTGCATCTTCCCATTGATACTTGAGTATTACAGGTGGGACAATTTGTAGCTTCTCTTCAAGGCTGAGATGATTCTTGAAATATTTCTTTTTTAAAGAACTCTTGTGGTCTCTCCATCTTTTCCCTAACGCTTGCTTCAAATAATCATATGAGATCTCTAAAGAAAATTTCTCCTACAAATAACATAAGTGTTCAAAGTAAATATAAATCATTATTGAACTGTCATGGATTATCTATTATAATGACATTATTACCTTAACAAAATCCACAACCTGATTTTTCCTACTATTAGACATTTCATGCCATGATTCATAATTGATCGGTAAAAGATTAGAATTATATGCAATCATGTCTAAGTACCTGATAGAAGAGGTGCTTCTGGGCCAATAGGTAGGGATGGCAACTCAACCCGAATCCGACGGGTTCCGACCCGACCCGACCCGATCGGGTCGGATTTTTTTTAAAAAAATTCGGGTTCGGGTCGGGTCGGGTTTAGGATAAAAAAAATCCGACCCGACCCGACCCGAAAAATATATATAATTTTATCTTATATATTTAGGGATAATTACAATAATATCCCTCCATATATAATTTTTTTCAATTAAGTCACTGTTTTCATTGAATTAAATTTTTTTTTATTATTTCGGGTCGGGTCGGGTCGGGTTTCTAAGTCATATATTCGGGTCGGGTCGGGTCGGGTGAAACATTAAGTTTGTCGGGTCGGGTCGGGTCACGGGTGGAGAACCCTTTCTTCTCGGGTCGGGTCGGGTGGCCCAAAAACCCGACCCGACCCGACCCATTGCCATCCCTACCAATAGGTTGACCGACATCGTTTCTTGAAACTTTCTCACAGTTCCCAAGAGGAAATTGGTATAATTCCTTCAACGTTGTACATCCTCTTGTCTTGCATCTTCGACCATTTTCAACTATAAAAGAAATAATTCAATGTATGTTTTGAAAAACAACCATCAATTAAATAAAGTGTTGAACATTACCTTCAACTTCTACAGCTTCTTGAACAGTATTCGAAATTTCCGAAGATCCAACACCAGTCGATTCCTTATTTGTTTCTTCCTCCTCTTGAAAAATTCGAACAATCCACAAATCACTTAATTGTCTCCTGGGCATAATATCTGCAATAAACAAACAACAGTTTTAGTGAAAATTAA